TGCCCACTTCTTCCAGAAACGGCCAAGGGCCCTGTGATGGGGAGCAGCCCAGACCCTCAGCAGCACCTCTGGAAAAAGCCCACATGCCAGAAACACTCGCAAGAGGCTGAAGCACCTCTCGCAATAGAGGCAGAACCCAGCAGGGAATGGTCCATGGGCCCCTGCATCACTGACGGGGGTGGGTCCTGGGACTGGACCAACATTATGCGATTCCAGTCCTTTCTCGCTCTAAGGGTATTTGTAGAACTAATGAGTTTCATAGCAGACCATGGACACCAGGGCTATGATCTCCACCATCCCAGCAGGAAAGGACAAGCCAACACTATTGCTGGATTCTCTAGACCAGGGGCCTCAAACTTGTGGCCCGTGGGCCAATTGCCGGGACGGGCGGGCACAGGGGAGGGGCTCTGTGGCCTTCAAAGCACCGGCGGCGCCCTGGCTGGCCTCCGGGAGCCACGCGGGATGAGCGGCCCACCAGCACCGTGGTGGTGGGGTACTTGATGCGGCCCAGCCTCACCCAGACTCTACTTCCAGCGGCCCCCAGGTAAGTTACGTTTGAGACCCCTGCTCTAGAGGATAACTTCTGAGGTCGTTTCCCAGAAGCCGAAGGCACAGTCTGCTCATGCCAGTGTGACTCTCTCATTACTTAGGCACCTGACCACTTCCCAGCAGACCTGTCTACCTGACATTGAGTCCTAGGATGATTATCATGGGCAGGTACCAATCTATGTCATCTGGGGATGAAAGGGAACCAAAAGCAAAGGCAACTAGGATCCCCTCACCCTTGTTCACATTTAATGAGAAAACCTCACACTTGGAATTATTTATTTGTGGATATGTTGGGTTATGATGAATAGCCCGGAGGGCCTGTCGTCCTCAAGGCAAAGCTGAAGAAAAGGCAGGGAACCCCATCCCTGTCTCTCTCTATGCAGTGGGGAAAGAAGGGCCCATAAACTCAGGTCCAAAAAGAGCAAAGGTGAGATAATTCCCTCTCCGTGTCTTTCCTAACTTGCCCACTCAGTCCACAGTCTCCTGACAACGTTGGGAGTTACAAGTAAATCTTGCCATTCTGTCAACCCGTCCAGATACCCCGTGCTGGTACAACTGCATTTGGCTGTGCTTCAGCCTATCAAGTGTATAGCAAGTGCTCCCCCTCAGAAGCTGAAGGGCTGTGAAATCTCTGAAGAGGAAACTAAACATTTCCAGAATTGTTTGCTTTGTAGAGTTTTGTACACCTGTTACCTCAGAAGCAGAGTGGAAGTGTGAACAGAGATAAGGAAGTTCCCACCTGGTTGAGGAGTTTCCTACCTTTTAATCTATGAAGCCATTTGTGCAGGAGCCAGTTATTCAGTTGCAGAAGCCTTCTCTTCTGCTCAAGCTCTAAGAAACCAGCAGGGAGAGGCAGAGGCAGAGGCAGAGGCAGAGGCAGAGGCAGAGGCAGAGAGATTGCTTCCCAATTCCAAGGCATCCCTGAATGGATAGACCTGTAGCCACACTTGTCCCTTGCATTCTAGTTCCCAAACTGCAAATAAAACTCAGCCTTAGCCATTAAGACAGCATGCTCAACTTTTCTTTACCAGGATTCCAGTCCTACAGCTTAAGAATGTGAGCCTCAGCAGGACTTCATTATCTGCAAGGTTTAGGCAAGTCAGCCAAGGCTTCTTCCCCTGGTGACAGGAATAAGAACACCCCCCCTGTACATCACAGGGGGCAGGGTGCCTGCATCCGGAGTGTAGAAGAAATCAGACTAGATGTACAGCTGGTGATCTATAGAGTATATATTTCAAGTCCAAGGTTGATTTGTTTATACACCTTTCTTTGGCAAGGACTCATTCTGAAGAGTATCACAGAAGTAGCTTTCCTGTCTGTTCCCTTTTTCCAAACACTTTAATAGCTTCTCTATCCCTTTAGGCAGCAGTTAAGTGCAGGGATTATAGGAATGTCACAATTTTCTGACAGGATGACAATATTCTGCCAGTACTGAAGAGAGTTCAACATTTCAACTAGCTGGGTGCATTTTCTCCATAGACACTTGAGTGATCTGATGGCTTTCAAGAGTATTATTGACTAAAACTCAGTAGGTTTGATATCTGTAACTCTTCCTCTGCAGTGCAGATTCAACACAAAACATTTTATGTTCTCTGAAGAACCCAACATTTCTTTGGACTCAGAATTATTGATCAGGTACCTCTCCAAGAGAAATTCTCAGATCCCACATTTTCCTTGTGTTAAAAGTAAGCAATTACATGGAAATTCCTCACACCCACACAGTCCCCTTGTCAGGAGATTGGCAGAAAGGAGCCCCTGGAGCCCCCCTTGGGATGTGGGTTTAAGGCCCATTTAGGGACAAAAAAACCCCACCCTCTGGCTTGTCCAGCAACAGAACTCTCTAGTTTCTTTAGATCTCATGGGAGTACAGTCATATTCTCCATCTCCAAAAGGTCCACAGATAATTCAGAGGCACTTATGAAAGCAGTTGCTATTAAAACAAGATGCTTCCCCTCCACTCCCTACTGACTCATGTTTTTACCTAATCACCGCATCTGCTTTTATTTTCTAAAGAACTCGGGTGATCCAGTGATGTGGTAAAGTATTTGTTGGGTTTCATGACAAAATATTAATATTATGTCATGAAAACAAACAGGACAGTGGGGAAGTTCATTTCTTGATACCTAGAACTGAAGGTGGAGTCTATGGACAACCTACACTTGGGAGAGGTTGTAGCTCCTGTATGCATTCCCCACTCTTTTATGCCAGCAAGATCATTCTGCCAGATTTAAATAACTGGAACAAAGGTGGAGCCCACATCACAGCAGGCTTCGGAGAATGGGGCGGCATAAAAATGTTTTAATAAATTAAAAAAAATCAACAAAGGAAGTCCTGAAAGTCCTGAATTGATAGACCTCCGTGTGAGCCTGACCCAGAAGCTCCCAAGTTAACTGGATTCCATGTCTCAGGGACCAGCCTTACCTCCAGCTGTTGAGAAGGAGCAACCCATAGGGTTGGACTGAACAAGTAATTCTTACCCATGTGCCTTGTTCCATAGCACTGTGAATGTTGAAAGAAGCTACAACTTGGGAAAGAAATAATTGGTGTTATTAACTTAGGCTGCTCTTATACACATTTACCTGGTTTTAGCCCTATTGAACTTCATCAAGTTTACTTCTATGTACACATGCATAGGCTCACACTGCAACTGTTTGTTGGGTTTATCTCTAGCTCCTATCTGCTCTTTTTTGAGTTATGTAAAGATGAACTGTTTGGTACACTTTAACCACAGCAAGAACAGTAGTACATATTTGAACATGCTTGCTTATTCCACCTCTAAGATTTAGGCTTGTCCTGCAGTAAGGACTGCAGCAAGGACAAGGGCTGAAAGTAACAAAACTGTCAGCACTTGGTGCATTTAAGACTGTTCACACTCACACAGTTGTGTGCATCATCCTGAGGCCTTCTGCGTAAGTTGGATGGTGTCTCTCAGCTCTGCAAACAGGCACCATGTGCACAAATGCAGCTTTGCTCTTGTGACTTTAACACCCTGAGTGAGAGTCTCACTGTGGAAATCAACCACACGTGAACACGCAGCAATTGCCTATAATCAAGCTGTAAAGGAACAGCAGGTACATAGGAGCCCATGGACCAGGCGCCTGTGTTTGTATTCTGTAGTAACCGTTGCCACCAGTGTGAAACTGTGGGTTAGGTGGTTTGTTAGAACTTTAGTTTTCTGCTTCTTAAAGTTTCTAGAACTTGTATGTCTCCAGGCTGAGCAGCTTAGAAATGCACAAGGGTGCTCAGAGTACCTTGCTCAGTGATCTATCTTGGCCTACCAGAGTTTATCTCAGGTACAGAATGCTTCCCTGATTTGTACTCTGCAAGAAAGGGCGTATGATCCTAATCAACACTGCACCACTTTACAAAGACCATTGCAGATGGATGTTTCATCCTCCAAGAGCAGTCAGTGATGTGTTTCAGGCTTTGTTCCTTTCCTTCCATCAAGATCAGTTTGGTTAAACGCCTAGTGTCCAATTCTGCACCTGCTGTTCACCTTGCTCTTTGAGATGCCAGGGAAAAGTCATGACGGAGAAAGATCCAGCTCTCTGCCCACACCAGCCCTTCAGTCAACCAAATTCAATGGTTTGGCATGAATTACTGAAGCAGGAGCTTGGCCAGGTGTGTTCCACTGCCATTTTTGCTTGTTTGACCAAGTGAAAGGAGCAGAGGGAATACCCCTCAGGATAGCAGTAGGGTCTTCTTTGCAGGACTAAGAGGAAAAGCCAGCTATATGCAGTAGTATTTTTAAGCCGGGGACAGCCTTGCAGCCGCTGCTGGGCATGGGGAGGCATCAAGATTCTTAAAAGGCACAGCTGTGTGTGCCTGCCAGCCCACCCTACTGCCCTAAGCCCACCTGCCACCCTTCTTCATGGTGGGGAACATTGACTCTTCCCTGGTGCTGGAGGTTCACCTCCCGGCCTGGTTGCTTTATCTCTGTGCAGGAACAGTCCCGCAGCAGCAATGCCCACCACGTCCCGTTTCAGGTGCAGAATTCTAGGGCAACAGTTGGCCATAGGCCTCATTCCTTCAGCCTTCCAAACCCGGGCGGAAGCCCTGTGCAGGGGACCCGCCGCGCACCTCACCACGCATGCTCGGCAGCACAAAACTTTGGTGTAGGTTTTGAGAGCATCCCGGAGCTCGAGAATGGCAGTCGTCGCATCTCGACGCCTGAATCCCACCGCCCGCAAGCGAAGCCCTTGTTGCGAGTGCGAGGGGCGGGCTGGCCGCAAGGGGACGAGCGGGATGCGCCGTGGGGGGGCAGGTCTGGGACTACGGCTGCCTCCCACCCCGCCCGCTTCCCGGAGGATGGCCAGGCTCAGGGGATGCGCGGGGAGCGGGCGCGCAGCGATCACGGCCCGGCCCTCCCTGCCGCCCGCGCCCTTCCCCGGGGCGGGCCCTGGCAGGAGCTGCAGGCCCCGCGCACGCCCTTCCCCTTCTCGCTCACTCGCTCTGCTCTGCTCTGCTCTGCGCGGCGCTCACGAGGCACCAGCCTGCGGGATCGCGACCGGAACCATGAAGGCGCTTTCGCGGCTCCTCGTGGCCTTGGGTAAGTCGCTCGGCGGCTTTCGGGCGGGGGCGGCGGGCGGCGGCGTGGGAACATGCCGGCGTGCCTTCGGGCTCGGACACTTGGCGGCCGCGGCTCCTGCGCTCGGCGGCTTCTGGAGAAAGCCGCAGCTGGCCTTTTCTTCTCCTTGGCTCTTCTTGGCCCAGCGATAATAGAATCCTGTTACGGGACTAGAAACTGCGTGAGCCTGTATCTGCCTAGACCCTGCATATTTTACTTCGCTTTTATGGATTTTTTAAAAAATTGGCTTCGATTCGATTTATCGAAAGACACAGTGGAACTTAATCAAAAACATGGAAAAAATCTACCCAAATCATAACAGATCAAGATTCTGCCATAGCAAGCCCGATACGGAACTTTCCCAAAAGCTGCGAGCACGTTCCGTAAAGTTTCCCCTGGCCACGTTTCAAAAGCCCGGTCTTGTACTACAGAGAGAGCGCGGCTGCGGTGGCTGCCGGTGGGACGCAGGAGAGCGTCGCTTGGCATCTTCCCAGCCAAACAGCCCCCAGCTCACGCCCCTGCTGGGGAGGCAAGCAGCCGGAGAAGGGTGGCTGGGTGGGTGAAAGAGTCAAGAGAGAGCCGTTCGGTCCGTGAATGGAGCATCCATCCCGATACGCAAGGGCGGGCTGTTTAACTAGGGAGAAACGCCGGCAGCTGGAGAGCCATGGGATTCGAGGGCCGCCAAGGGCTGAGAAGGATCGGGTCAATAGCCTCCCCTCCCCCGTCCCCGCAGGAACGGGCGCCCAACCCCCCGAAACGAGGACCAGGGCCGTGCCTCCGCCCGCTCCTGCCGGCTGCCTGGCCGTGGAAATGCGGGCCGGTCGGAGTTCCCCGCACGTGGAGGCGCAGGCTGCAGGCGCGGAGGCGTGCGCGGCTGCCTTCCTCTCCCTGCGGCCCGCTTTTCCTCCCAAGTAGCCTGAGGCAGGCAAGAATATAAGGCCGGCCAGCTCGGGTAGTAGCCAAGCAGCCGCCTGTGGGAAGCCCATCCTGAGCACAAAAGGGCTCCGCGTTCCCAGGCAGCTGGCAAACCTGGGCATACTGCCTCTGATACTGGGGCAGCAAGGAGCCATCAGCGTGGCGCCTTCCTTCCATTTGTCGAATTCCCTCCTGGGACATCCAAACGGATGGCCATCTTGTGGTGCCAAAAAAACCTGTGACCGGTGCCTGTGCTCGGAAGGGCTCAGAAAATTGCTTTCATTTTGCCTGGGATGCAGCTGTGGGGAGAGCTTCACTCAGAAGCACTGAAGCCAAGAATGACATGACAAAGATACTGGGGGGGGGGGGGGGGGAGGCTCACTGGCAGACAGGTGTTTGCGATGTGTGGCAGGCTTCCTTTTGCTTGTCCTGCAAGTAGGAGCCTGCAAGGACATTTAGATACAGTAGCTTGTCTGTGCCTAGGCCATCCCATAAGTGAGATCGCAATCCCATGCACACACATTTCACAGTAAGTCCCACTGGACTTGGGCTTCCCCTGAGTATGTATGTGTCACTGCAGGGTTAAGCACTGAGCTGGCATTTCAAGCAGACCGGCCAGCTCATGCGCTCAGCTGCACTAGCAATGCTTTATCATAGAATTGCAGACTAGTGGAAAGGGCCAGGAAGGCCATCAGATCCAACCCCCTGCTGTTGCAGGACACCAATATTGATACTGATGAAGTGCTGGGAATCGCTTGTGGTGGGGTTTTGGGGTGGCTTGGAAGCTGCCCCCACTGCGTACCTCGCCCAGCACAGATGACACGGGAAGCTGTGTGCTCTGCAGGTAACTGGGCAGTTGGCAGCGCGCACACCCAGAATGTGTGGGGCTGGGGGGAAAGGCCACTGTGCCTTCCTTTCCTGCGTACTGTCCAGTCCTTGCCTATGAGGTAATCTTTAAACACATAGAAAATAAGTTCCTGAAAAATGGTAAAAGAGAAACTTGTTTATAAGAAGATTGTTCCCCAAGGCAACCATAAAATAGGAGCATGAATTATGAACCCTTTTTTCAATTGTTCTATAATGCTTTTAATCAGTGACAGCTGGTTCAGGGAAAGCATTATACCTAGTGAAATCCTATATGACTTACCTGATATAGTAATGTATCACCAGAAGTGAAACATAGGATGCGTAAATCCATCATGCGTACTTCTAAAAGAATAGGTGGTGGCTTTGGACCACTGGAAAGCAATTCCACTGGTGCCGGGTGGGACGTGCCCATTTTCTCAGTCCTTCTCATTGTCTGTAGCTCCCCTGCACTTTGGCCCCTTAGAAGATGCTTCAGAGCTTGGGGGACCTTCCCGAAGAGCATGGAATATGGCACAAAAAGCTGCAGTAGACTCAGAGGACTGGTGGAAATAGGATCCTCTGTCTTGTACAAGTTCTTTCCTCCCTGCAGGGCCAACACTGAATACAACTCGAAGTACATAAATTATAGTGGCCCCATGAACTCCATCAAGCTTATACAAATGTGGCACTTCTGGCTATAACCCACCAAGTTTATTTTATTTATTATATTTATATCCAACCTTTTTTCCCTTCAAGAAACTCAATGCAGCTTACATACTCCTACTCTCAATCTTATCCTCACAATAACCCTGTGAGGTAGGCTAGACCAAGAGTCAGTGAGAGGCCCAAAATCACCCAGTGAGCTTTGTGGCCATGCAGAGACCAGAACGTGGAACTCCCAGATCCCAATCCAGCACTGTCACCACTAACTTTTTTGATACAGAACTTTATTGAAAGGTAAAGAATGTGAATATAAATAAGATTACGTGGAATAAGATGTTGATTTTCTGATCTCTTGACTTCAGATGCAGATTGAAACATGAAGCACAAAGCTAGATGAGAGACATGAAGCTGAGCCTAGCAAAGCAAACAGAAAGCACAAAAATGAAACATATAATCCTGCTTTCTCCTTTTCTCCATTTGTAATATGTTTTCTACATCTGCAATCCTATACCAACTTAATTGGGAACTCAGTAGGATTTACTGAACTCAGCAGGACTTACTTCTGAGTATATATGAATAGGCTTACACTGTAAATCTGATTGTTGGCCAAAAGCAGGGACTTGCTTTTCTTTCTGTGTTATTCACCGTGTGCTATTTCCTCTCCCTTAAAAAGAAAAAAGAAAGATAAAGCCACTTTCTCAGATCTGTCTGGGAGGTACTGCTCTTTGTCCTTTAGGGATGTAAAAGCAGGAAGACACAGGCCAGGCCTTCTCAACAACATTACCTCCCACACCACGAAATGCTTTGCCAACTGGCCCCTAACAGGCAGGCGTTCTGTTACAGGGCTGCATCAGAAAGCATTCCCTAATTAAATTCGTTCCTTTTTTTTAACTTTGCAGAACATTACCTTGGCTTTGTTTGTGTTAATCTTGGCCATTTCACATTTGTATTTTTAGATTTGTAGATAGTTTGTACTGTGGTTGTCTATCACTTGGGTGCTATTTTAAAATTTTGGCTGTGACTAGGGTATATAAATTTGAAAACTGATCCAGCATAGTCCAATGCTTGTTGACCTGGAGGTTAAGTCCCACTATGTTCAGTAGGGCTTGCTACCAACCCCACTGAACACCGTGGGACTTATATCTGAGTAATCAGTCATAGGAAGATTTCATTACAAACAGATATCTGAAAGTAATGTTTTCCTAATGCTCCTATGTTAGGAAAGTTTCAGCTGTTGAACTGCTGTTGATCATTACTGTTTAAAGCACCCCTGTTAAGGAAAAACAAACAAAAGCAAAAAACAAAACTTGCTATTTCTCTTTGTAATGTAGTAGCTCCCTGCATTTTTCCAGAAACAGAGAGAAGTGAAGAGTCGTGTTCTCGTCACACACCGGCTTCCATCTGACTTTCTAGGCCTCGCTTTCTTCCCAGGGCAAAGCCTGTAGTCCTCTCAAGAACAGTTGAGGGGACCTGTGATGCAAGCCCGGAAGAATTTATTTTCAGCTTTAAGTATTTTGTTGAGGACTTACTGGAATTTCACATTCTTTGCCCTTTGCTGGCTCTGTCAGTGAAGTGACAACTGGGAGATGGGATGGGTGACATCAGCAATGTTTTGGGAATAATAGTTCTTCACTCTGCAGAAACCATGGCCTGAAAACCAGCCAACACAGATTTGTTGAGAACAAATCCTGCCAAACTCATCTGATTACTTTTTTGATTGGGTAACTTCCCTGGTGGACTGTGGGATTGCTGTGGACATAATATATCTTGACTTCAGCAAATCTTTTGATAAAGTAGCCCATGATTTCCTGATTAGCAAACTAGCAAAAGGTGGGCTAGAAAGAACAAGTATCAGGTGTATCCACGGTTGGTTACAGAATCAGATTCAAAGAGTGACCATCAATGACATCTTCTCAAATTGAGGAGAGGTAATAAGTGGGGCATCATGCAGTTCAGTCCTGGGCCTGGTACTCTTCAATATTTTCATTAATGATTTGGATGAGGAAGTGCAGACAATGCTTATCACATCTGCAGATGACACAAAATTGAGTGGGATAGCTAATACCCTGGAAGACAGAAAGAAGATTCAAGGTGATTGTGATAGGCTGGAGCGCTGGGCTGAAAACGACAGAATGGAATTCAGTAGGGACAAATTCCAAGTTCTGCACCTAAGAAAAAGTAACCAAACACATCATTACAAGATAGGGATAATTGGCCCAACAATACTGAAAGTGAGAAGGATCTTGGCATTGTTGTAGATGCAAGCTGAGTATAAGTCAACAATGTGATGTGGCTACAAGAAGGTCAAATGCTGGTTTAGGCTACATTAAGAGAAGTATCACTTCCAAGTCCCATGAATTACCAGTCCCCCTTTTCTCAGATTCTGGCTAGATTACAGGAAAAATATCCTAATGGTTAGAGTAGTATGACAATGAAACTAATTACCTAGGAAGGTTGTGGTCTCTTCCACACCTGAGGTATTCTAGATGCAGCTGAACAACAACCTGAGAGGGATGGTTTGACTTGGAGTCCTACACCAAGCAGGGGCTTGGACTTGA